TCAGTGTTGCTCGTTGATTATTTCTACTGGAAATACAATCTCCCAAAAGGGCACGTGAATTCATAAACGACATTACTTTTTTTTTTTTTTTTTTACATAGGGTGAATTTTTGAGGTTCTGAATTATTGTTAATAATTAATATCTGTCTATATTTCTGAGAAACGTCGAAACGTCGTGAATATAACAACAAAGATGAGGACAACAGTTCGAACAATGTAAATAGTGTAAAAATCGTAATAATTAGATTAGAGAAGTTCTGAAGTTTTTAAAGTAAATTATAAAACTAAGGTATTTGTTAGGATCGTCAACTGTTACATACCTACGAATTATATTTTTAATGGCCAATTTTATTCATCAACAACAGGTTTGGGAAATAATTATTGATAAGTGTTTTTTTATGATGCTTAATTCTCTATAAAACAATATGTCCGATGAATAAATCTCTTTCATCCGGTTAATCATGTTTTTATAGCACCTATTTTATATTTGTGGCGTCATTCGCTTTTATAATGAAGAAAACATGAATTTTTACTTCTTTAGTGAAGTGGTAAAATCATCACTATTAACATCAACTAGAACTTCAAGGAAGGGATTCTATTATTAATGGTTGAAATAATAACAAATTGTACAAAACCACTCGTTAAGATTAAATAAATATTTTGAATTCATCGACATCTGCCATATTTCTATAATCTACATAAAAAACGGAACATAAAAACTAATCATGAACAAATTTTAATTTTTTTCTTATATTAAAAAAAGTTATAACGTGACATTATTCAAATATTCAGAAGTGTGATAAAGTGTTAAATTTTATATATGTCACCATTTCTAAAACAATAAGAGATACAGTTACCATCAAAAGAGATAGCAAGGATGACAGGACAGAGGCAGGAATATACAAAATAGATTGGACAAAAAATGTTCACAGGTATACATCGGCAAAACATACAGAAATTAAAAAAAGAAAATGTGCTGTACAACATTTTAAGCGCTCTAGCAGGTCAGCATAATACATCTCATCTCAACAGGATTTCGACTTAATAAATGCCGGTCAGATTAAAAGAGAAAGGTATTCACTAAGAAGAAAATACATTGAGTGTGCTAATCTCGCAATTCTAGAAAACAAACCTACGACCAGAACCATACATAATATAAACGATCATCGCAAAATTAATAATAGTACGATGTGGCTATACGGATTAATACACACACACACACACACACACACACACACACACACACACACACACACACACACACAGAAAAGATCTACTCGGAGTCAGCTTATTTAAAATGCAAACGATACCAACGATGCATTTAACGGATGTCAGAATACGTTGAAAAATTCATCCCTACCCCTACCTAAACATAACCCCTTTTTCGAACGTAACAAATAACTGATACAACAAAAATTAATAAAAATGAACACGCTACCACCCCTTGTCAGGATGATTGGATTTCTCTGTATCCTTGGAAACAGTGAATTGTGAATTTTTTCGTGCCTTTAAAACTCAGTAAATTTTTAAAAAAATAAGTTACTCCAAAATTCTATTGAGGATGAAATGGAACTAATGTTTTTAATTTAATTACAAAATTAAATTTGAAGCTTTTAGCTTCCATTTTTGAAACATTGTTATTACTGTGTAGCGAAAAAAAACATATTTTAAATCAGTTAATTTATAATATTAATGCTCTGTAAATTTACATTGAGCACTGTTTTGTAAAAATAAAAATATCAATAAGAAACACCGGATTATATATTCTTTATATATATATATATATATATTATATTTATATATATATATATATATATATATATATATATGAGATGAGGTAACTATTTACACTATTTACATTGTTCGGACTAATCTTTATTGCCATGTTCACGACGTTACGGTCGTTGTACGCCCGGGCTTTCTTCAGGTAATATACGCTGGAATTACCGAACTTTTTTATTTAGCCCACTGGGGAAGATTGTTCTAGTACCACGTGCCATGCCTTTTCTGGATATCTCCATATATGGGAGGAAAAAGAGATCACCGCCCTCTGTGGGATGAGGTTGAAATAATAGACAGAGTACATCACTGGAAAATACGAAATATATACACACACACACATACATATATATATATATATATATATATATATATATATATATATGTATGTATAAATTTACTAATTTAAAAATATGGTTCATACTTTTAAATTAGTAAATTTATAATATTTATGCTCTGTAGATTTGCATTGAGCACTGTTTTGTAAAAATAAAAATATTAATAAGAACACCGGATTATATGTCTTACGGTTGTTTCTCTTTATTATAATATATAAATTTTTGAAGATTAAAGTTAACTGGAAAGAATGGAGCCACAATCGAGAAGTGCGAGAAAAGGAACTGTTAACACAGAACTTACTGTTTACATCTAGCCAATTCAACTGTAAATTTATGAGGTCTTGTTGGCAATCTAGTACCAATCTAGGTAACATAGAGAAGAGC